GTTCAAATCCAAAAAGAGTATGATTTTTTTTTAAAAAAAAAATATAAATCCATCTGGATATTTTGTCTAATTCACAAGAGTTTTTAGGTTCGCTTGATTGCTGATAAAGAGACGAATAAACCAAGAGGATATGCTTTCATTGAGTACATGCATACACGCGATATGAAAGGTTTCTTTTATTTACATCTCATGTCTCACTTCCTTTTTATTATTATCATTATTATTAAAATTGCATGTTTTATGAATTAATAGCTGCATATAAACAAGCGGATGGAAGGAAGCTTGATAACAGAAGAGTGCTTGTGGATGTTGAACGTGGAAGAACAGTTCCTAACTGGCGGCCACGTAGGCTTGGTGGTGGACTTGGGACCACCAGGGTTGGTGGTGAAGAAGTTAACCAGAAGAACTCCGGGAGGTAATTTGTCACATGTTTTTGTTTCTAGAATTGAGTGATTCTAATTTGGCACATGTTGTTTTTGTGATCAGAGAACAACAACAATCAGGAGGAGCCTCTCGATCCGTAGAGCCACGAGCAACTGAAGAGCGAGGAGATAGGTAAATTAAATAATACAATTATTATTTATTTATTTATTATATAGTTTTCATAATTAAATATTATTCAGAGAGAGGGAGAAGTCACGTGAGCGCGAAAGGGTGGTTAAGGAAAGATCACGTGAACGTGAGCGCGAGCGGTCCCACGACAAGCCAAGAGAACGGGAACACCGCGATGACCGGCACCGGGACCGCGACCGTGACCGTGACCGCGATCGAACCGGTCGCGACCGTGATCGACACCGCGACCGTGACCGGGACCGTAGCGGTCGTGACCGTGGGGACCGCGAGCGTAGCAGTCGTCACCGTGAAAAGGATCGGGAGAAAGATTATGAGGTGGGCGATGTTGAGGCGTTGGATCGTGATCGCGGGAGGTCGCGTGATAAGGATTATGAGTATGATCGCAGTGAAAGACATGAGAGAGATAAACATGGAGGAGGGGATAATGTTAGGGGGAAAAGCTATGATGATCGTGATCGTGGGGATATGGAGGAGTGGTATGAGCAAGGGGAGCATGGGAATAGTAAGCGTGTGGATGCGGAGCGTGATATGGGAGGTGTTGGTGGTGGAGGGTATGATTATTATGATGAGGAGCGGTATGAACATCAGGATCATGATCGGTATGATCAGATGGAGGATGATGTGTATGAGCCAGGAAAGGTGGAGCCGCGTGATAAGGATCGTGAACGTGAGTATAGGCGATCCGACAGGTCGCTTTCTCGTGACTATGAGTACTGAGTACTGAAAGCATAAGATGCATGCGCGTATGTGTTTTGTTTTTGTTTTTGTTTTTGTGTGTTGTTATGGACCTTTGGATTTAACCTTTGTGGGTGGTATTGGATTGTTTTTTATAAGTTGTAATATCAAGTGTATTAGACTATTCGTGCCTCGTGATTTGTTTTTGAGTTTTCATGAAATGGAGACTGTGCCTTGTGCTCTTGTGGTATATGAAATTCAAAATAGCCCAAATAGTGAAAACTAGAAGGATTAGTGACCCACTGGATTTTCTACAGAAACTTGTACAAAAAGATATCTCTAAGAGTTGGATTTCTCTTGTTTGTTTTCAGACCCCTTATTTGCAAATCATACGCTTTTGAATACGACAGAGAGCTCTTGTTTGGAGATGTAAAATTAAAGAAAAGTGATTTTAATGTAGAACAAAATGAATACCTCACATTGATAAATTCATATTCGATAGAATACTTACCTAGTAATCAATGCTAACCACCTACTACACTTAAGCGTATGCTTTGCACATTATATGGTAATTGAAAAAGGCCTTGCAATCTCATTAAAACAGTTTGATACCATTTTCAATAAAAGAAGTGTAGAAAAGGTCCCAAAAATATTCAAGCTTTTCACGGTTTATAAATTTAAAAAATGCCAAAAATATACAAAGGCATAGAAAAGTTATGAACACACTAATAGGTCAAGTGGAAACATAATCTCATTATCAGCATGCTAATCAACCTTCATAGTCGCTATGTACATTTTTTTCGAACGACGGGTCACCCTATGGTTGAAGATTCAAACCTGAGACCGCTGCTAACTTGAACATATGTCAAAATAATATACTAGGTTTAGGAGCCTAATGAGTCATACAGGGATTGGATGTCATATCAAAGTATATGCATGAACACAATTTATACACTAGTGCAACAACCCCAACTTCAATTAAAACCTCTTTAGACATCCTAAAACTACATTTTTAATTTTCTTTTTTAGGAAAAGCATTACATAACACAAAGTACATTGTTATAACTCCATAATACTCAATAACCATCTTTGAGGGTGTGTAGAAAAAAATCCGATCCAATTACAAACGACTGAAATATACTGAATATATAGTCACAATTGAATTGAATTGGTTCTCAAATTTCAATATCTAATTAGAGTGGTTCGATTTTTGGATGATAACGAAAATCCAATAAAAACCAAACCAACCGATGTAATCTAATTACTATCCTATTAGATATCCAATTAGATATCCAACTTGATACCCAAATTTCATGCAATTCTATATATCCATTTATAATCCAATTAGTATCCAGTTTCAATTATTAAAAAATATTAATATAAATATTTCAGTTATTTAAAAATTTGATGAAATTTAGATGGATCCAATTGGATGAAAACTATATAGATCAAGTTAGATATATAGGATATCGAATATTAAACATCTAATGAATACAACTGATCAAATTCAATTTCTAATTAGACCAATTTAGTTCGGTTAGTTGTAACGAATTAGATTGGATCGATTGACAACATCCAATATCAAATGAATGATTTGATTGGATTGGTTGTATAAAAAAACATTGGATATGTGATGATGAACACTCCTAACCATCTTAAAGATAAAACAATGTAACATGCAATGTATGTTATGGCATTAAAATCCAAATCCCAAAGTCATATAATCTCATTTTGTCATTGTCTCTCGTCTCTTGGGGACTTGCCAAGGTAAACCCGAAAGAAAAAGATGGTGCAAGTCCATTTGATATTATCATCTACACATCTACACTTACTTGCTTCAATTCATATATCGGTGGTGTGACCCCATTCGATATCATTATATTGTGTACATGTTCCAAAACATTTATACGAGGGATTCATTACCTCTTAACATTGTATATGAGAGTACTGGTTATCAAAACTTATATATTTGTTTAGAGAATACCTTTAAAGTCTTAATGATTTTTACTAGATCAACCATGCGTGAGTGCAACCGATGAAGACAGAGAGTATCTTTATCATAGCGAAATATAAATGAAAGTACTGTTTTTTATCTTTATAAACTTTATTTCGGTGTTCAAGAAACTTGTAAAACATGTTTAAACTTTTAACTTTCTATTATCAACTCCCCCAAGGTGCACTATTATTAGACTTATAAAAAGTCATCTTTCTAAAAATAAGGGTTTTCATAAAAGGAGAAGACAAGATGCAAAAAAAAGAAAATTGTTTTATAAGTTTAAAACATGTTTAATATAGTTATGAAAGAGTTTTCCTTACAGAACTTGGGTCCAAGTGCACCAAAAGTGACCAACGGCATAAAGGGTACACATATTCGATACGGGCCGTTAGTTTTGGGCTGAGATAATCCCGACCAACCGATATTTGTACACCTATTCGACCGAATTCATAAAGCAATATACGTGCCATTTTTGGTACTTTTGATAACCCTAATCTCTTAGAAGCTTTTTCTTAAAGATTTAGCATATTTTATGGAACATAACATATGCTAAAATACTTCGAAAAACATTTACAAATCCTCTTATTGTACATATTTTGATCTTTAGTTGGGACTAAGTGGTTGAATTTCTACGAAAGGTATAAAAAGTAAGGATTGTATTATCGTGAGAAATGGGGATATCCATATTTGGCACTTATATTAATGTCAAGTGGACTTAACATCATATTTTGTACAAATAGTCTAAGTCCATCCTTTAAGGAACATGTTACTAGTGGATCAAATTCAGAATGAGTCCTGCTGGACGAGTGACCCTTACCAATGTCAAACTCAATCATACTTCATTAAATAACTAGGTATGAGACCCATGTATTATATGCGTTTCTTTCAAATAAAAAATAAATATAAATTATAAACATTTGAGAAGTTTGAATTTATAATAAAATTGAGAAAAATATTGAATTATTAAAAGTAAAGTGTTTTTTTTTCTCTTTTAAATTTAAACAAATAATTTAGATTTAGATAAATAAATAAAAGAAACTAATGAGGCTTTACTTTAGTAATTTTGCAATTAGAAGGAAATACCATTAATGAAACTGATATACATTTATTATTATATTTAAATATATATGGAATTTAATAAAATGAAAAAACCATAAAATTGACATGTGGAATAAAATTTAATTTAAAATAACCACAAAATGACATGTGGCAAAATGAATGATAATGTGACATGTGACAAAAATATCTTTATTTATTAGAGTAAAAAATTGAATGTCCGAGTTAAGGGGGTGTTTGGATAGGGAAAAAAGTGGCTGCTTGTTGCTTATTGTTTATTCTCACAACAATAAGCTGAGTTGAAGTGTTTGGATAGGAAGCTTAAAAACCAGCTTATTGTGGTAGGAATAAACTAAATAAGCTGATTTTAATAAGCAAGGGGAGATGCTTATTGTTTATTGTGGTAGAAATATTTATCCAAACACCCCTAAGAGATAACAGACTTTTATAAGTGTTAAATAACATTCAATCAAATTCAATCCTCATTATAAACAATTAAACATACCGTTTTGCTTTGTATCATAAAAGTATTGAGTATTAACATTTACAAAATGGTCGATTATGGAAACTAACAAGACTATCAACGTCAACCTATAAATCATTTCAAGTAAGTAATTTACTTCATACAAAATACCATCGAAGGTGTCTTAAATAATCATATAATTTTTTTAAAACTCTTTTAAAATTATTATTTAAAATAATGTTTAGGATTAAACCCATATGCATAAAGTACATCGATTGGTGGAATAAATTTGAAAAATGACCAGTAATGGCGTGAAGAATGGCTCCACTCGTAATTGTATCCTCTTTCCAGGGCATTAAAGCAAATTCACATTTTCCCGCCCACTCCTCGATTACACAAGCCTATTAAACACTACCAAACATCCCCCTTTTTCTTCCATTGAAAACCTTTCTTTGCCACTCTCCATTGTCATCGGACCTTCTCCACCGGTCCTCTTCACGCTTCCTGCAGAGATCCAAGTAAGTTTCACCCTCAAATTTGAAATAATTTTGCTGTTTTATGTGTATGATGCTTTAATTTCTCCATATATGTTGATATATGTTCTCGCCACATGCTTGCGATTCAGTTCACCTTTCCGGTTTGCAGTTTTTGCTTCGAAACTTTTCAGACATTTTGTTCGCGTTTTAAGTTCTGATTTCCTTGTATACATTTTGTGTTGAAAATTTGATTTTGTTTGACTTTATTTTCTAGGGTTTTGACTGCGAGATGGTGCCTAAAAACGAAGTCATGGAAGAACCAGTAGCAGATTCTCCGACTTCGGTGCTTGAAGACGAGGTGTGTTATCATATTTTTATACATTTCCCCCTTTTTCGTTTACTCCGTACTTTACTTCGTATATGCTTAAAATCAACTTTTTGTGCGTGCTTGTGGCTTTATTGTTATCGAACTCCATTTTAGCTATAAGATCCTTGAATCTACTGTGATCCTATATGCTTTACGGCGCCATATCTACAGCTTTTGTTTATCCTTTTTTTCCTCGAGGTTTCTGCCTGAATATTTTGTTTAAAAAGTTAAAGCTCTTGGTTACCTTCTTAACTGTTACTCCCGATTTATTTTGAAGGATGTCTGCAAGGATAAATCTGCTGTGAAGATGGAAGATGAACTGTTATGCGAGACAAAAAATGGGGACGCAACTCTCATCCCAGCTGTAATGGCAGAAGAGGAAGTAAAACTTGAACAACAAAGGAATCAGGAAGAAGAAGCTGTGGAAAAGGAACCTCCTACCTTGAACGACACACAGTTTACTAAACTGGATGAGCTTCTTACTCAGACTCAGCTTTACTCTGAATTTTTACTGGAAAAAATGGACGACATAACTAAAGTATGCTCCCATGCCCTCTATCATCTCGTTCTTTTGCTCATAATTTGACATTTGCTCACATTTTCTGAGTTGCAATTGCAGAATGGGGTGGCTGAAGATGTTAATGGAGTAAAAGGGGCGAAGAAGAAAGGCCGTGGTGCTAAAAGAAAATCTGCCTCAAATTACAACACAGTAATGTCTTTTATCTTGTTTTTTTCTCTACAGTTTCTCTGTTTTTACCCAAGTCATAACAATATTGCATCATGTTTTCAGAGGAAGGCCAAAACAGCTGTAGCAGCCATGCTTACACGATCTGAAGAAGGTACCCCTTTTGATGACACCAATCTCAGTAAAGAAGAGAGAGCTGCAATAGAGCAGGCTGAGCTTGTTCCTTTGTTGACTGGTGGAAAGTTGAAACCTTATCAAGTTAAAGGTGTCAAATGGATGATCTCACTGTGGCAAAATGGTCTTAATGGTATTCTTGCTGACCAAATGGGACTTGGGAAAACAATACAAACTATTGGTTTTCTTGCACATTTAAAAGGGAATGGCTTAGATGGGCCCTACTTGGTTATTGCCCCTTTGTCTACTTTGTCAAATTGGGCAAATGAGATTGCAAGGTATCATTTTTCTTGTTCTACAAAGTTTTTATCTTTATTGGTTTCTTTCAAGTTTGAGTATTCAAATTTAAACTCTATCTTTTCTTGTTTGTGAAGGTTTGTCCCATCTATGAATGCAATTATCTACCATGGAGATAGATCTGCAAGAGAGGAACTAAGGAGAAAACACATGCCAAAATCAATAGGCCCAAAGTTTCCAATTGTGATTACTTCATATGAAGTAGCAATGAATGATGCTAAAAAGCACTTGAGGCATTACAACTGGAAATACCTTGTGGTTGATGAGGTGCTTCTAGTTACCTTGTTCTTATCTATTCTTTTATGCCTATCATTGTTTTATTTCCTTCAACTAAATTGTTAAATTTCATAACATACAGGGTCACAGATTGAAAAATTCTCAATGCAAACTATTAAGAGAGTTAAAATGGTTACGTGTTGAAAACAAGCTTTTGTTGACTGGAACACCTCTTCAGAACAATCTTGCAGAACTTTGGTCTTTGCTCAACTTCATTTTGCCTGATATATTCTCGTCCCATGCTGAATTTGAGTCATGGTAACTTTTATATTTTATAAAAAATTATAAGTTTAACTTTATACAACTATATAAATCTTCACTTATTAATAATATGATGTAAACATAGGTTTGATCTATCTGGAAAGTCAAACACCGAGGAAGGAGAAGAAGGGAGAAAATCAAAAGTATGTAAAAAATTATTTGTATACTTTATTCCCTACCTTTATTTCTTATTCTTTTTTTAATTTAATATTTGTTTATAATTTCAGGTTGTAGCAAAGTTGCATGCTATTTTGCGTCCTTTTCTGCTGAGAAGAATGAAAGAAGATGTTGAACAAATGCTTCCTCGCAAAAAAGAGATAATTTTGTATGCTACTCTTACTGAGCATCAAAAGAACTTCCAAGATCTTTTGGTCAACAAGTCTCTTGAAGCTTATCTGAGAGAGAAAGTCGACACTGGTAATGCAATTGCAAAGGTTTTTTAATTTATTAAATTTGAAATAATCAAAATATAATATTAATAATGGTTTTATTTGAAAAATAAAATTACAGGTCGTGGTTCGAAAGGACAGCTAAATAATCTGATGATTCAGCTCAGGAAAAATTGCAACCATCCTGACCTCTTGGAGGGAGCCTTTGAGGGTTCATGTATGTTTAAATTTATTGAATTAAATAATTAGTATATTAAATATTATAAATAAATATTGATTATTTTTGTTTGGATAGGTTTTTATCCACCTGTAGAACAAATAGTTGGACAATGTGGGAAATTTCAGTTGCTTGAAAAATTGCTGCAAAAGCTGTTGGCTCGCAAACACAAAGTATTAAATTAAATTGATGTTTGTTCTTTTTGGTGTTGAGAATTGAGATGTTGGTGTTATTATTTGTAAATTGTAAATTAATGATATGTTTAATTTTTGTAAACAACAGGTTTTAATTTTCTCTCAGTGGACTAAAATATTGGATATAATGCATTACTACTTCAGTGAGAAGGGTATCGAAGTTTGTAGAATTGATGGGAGTGTGAAGTTAGATGAGAGAAGACAACAAGTAGGTTTAGTTTAGGTCAAATTATTGGGTATAAGCTTTAATGATTGTATTCTAATTTTTTTTTTTTTAAAACTACAGATCCAGGAGTTCAATGATGTGGATAGTGATCTTAGAATATTCCTTCTGAGCACAAGGGCTGGTGGGCTAGGAATTAATCTGACTGCAGCAGATACCTGCATTTTATATGATAGTGACTGGGTACATTCATCATCCAACATATTAAATATTTTTTCTTTTAAGTTTTAGTTTAATAAACATATTTGGATTTGGTTCAGAATCCTCAAATGGATCTTCAAGCAATGGATAGATGTCATAGAATTGGGCAAACAAAGCCTGTTCATGTCTACAGGCTTGCAACTGCACAATCTGTTGAGGTATTTATTTGATTTCTTGTATATTATATTAATTAAATCTGGTTAGTTTATTCAATGTTGTATAATTGATTGATATGATGATAATAATTGTAGGGTCGGATTTTGAAAAGAGCTTTCAGGAAGCTGAGGCTGGAGCATGTGGTGATTGGAAAAGGTCAGTTTCAACAGGAGAAGACAAACACAGAAGTTTTGAAGGTAGGTATATGTTTAGTTAATAAGTCATTTTAATTGGATGGATGTTTATTTATTGATAATGAATAATGAAAGTATGATATAATGGTATAGGAGGAGGACATGCTGGCGCTTTTGAGAGATGATGATGATCCAGAAGACAAAAGGATACAAACAGATATAAGCGAGGAGGATCTTGAAAGGGTGTTGGATAGGAGTGATCTGCTTGCAAAAGCAGGATCAGATGCGAAGCCCGAGTACATGACAAGTGCACTGCCACTTAAAGGCCCTGGTTGGGAGGTGGTCATTCCCACAGCTACTGGTGGGATGCTTTCCACTGTCAACAACTAACGCAACCATGTTTACCATTTTGCCCTTTTGGAACAAACACTCACAGTTGCCTCTTTATTTTTTTTTGGAATGACGGTGTTTGGTTAGGATTTTGTGTGGGTCTAGAAATGGAATTATGACCCTTTTCTTTTAAATGTGAGCACTGATTAAGTAGGTTCATGTGATGTAATATTGGTAAGACTTAAGAGAGAATGGGCAAGTAAGAAAATGTTAAACATGTTTTGCTTTGCGTTTAGACTTTAGAGCATCTACAACTACAAGGCAATGTTTGGGCTTTTCTTAACTTTTTTCTGCTACTTTGCTTAGATGATTTGATTGTTATTTGTTTGTTGCATTCCTATCACCTCTCCATATCATGTGTGATGCAAACGATAGGGTAGTATTGGATTACAGGTATTTTGATGAATAAGTAAACAATTTCAAATTATATTCTATTCAATCAAATGATAGATTTCCAAAAACTTAACACATTGTGATTGGTCCTTCTTCTCCAGATTTGCAAATTGTTTACTTTTAACTTAGAAAAATATTAGGCCAAATAGCAAAGAGATGATATGAAAGAAAAAGAAAAGAAGATGTTATTTTAATTTATTGTTTTTCTTTCATGAGTTACAAGTAATACAATGCTTGTCGACAATTACAGGTTACAATACGAGGTAAATCCATTCTTTGTATTTTCAATAACATGAATAATCAAGATTTAACAAAAATTATAAATCCCCACTTTGAATGAATTATAAATCATACTCGTGGAACAACAAACTTCCGGCTTCTTGGAAATGTTGTTTCAAAATCCACCATAGTTAATGTCTCTGGTATCGACATGCCTCCTGAGATCACAATCTCTGTATTTATAGTAAAAAAAATCAGATTAATGCTACAAATGTAAATAATTACTTTTATGGCCGGATATGTATAAAGGTAATTACATGTTAATTAAAAACATGTAATTCTATAAGGTGATATATAAATACCTATGCCTTCTCTGACAGAGATATCTGGCTTCATAACATCTTTTGAATTGACAAGCACCATATCTCCAAGATAAAGGTGGTTTGTTGGCACATAAACGCAACATAACTCTTCAGACCCTTCATTCTTACGTAACATAACAGTTGATGTTATGAACCCAATTGCGTATTCTCCATCATGTGGATGCCTTATGATCGCAACTTCTTTAAATGCTTGTGAACCTTCTTCACCTAAACAAATTTAAACACGTACTATTACAACTTATATCTTTATATATATATATTTATTAGAAATACATTATACAATGAGTTAATTAATTAACTACCTGGTGAAATCGCTGAACTAATTTGTTTAGAAGCAGCATAAATGTAGCTCATGCCAGGCAGCTTCTTTATTATAAACTCCCCTAAGCTCAGTAGAGACGACCCCAACCATGATGACATGAACACACCAACCAAAAATATGAAACCAATTGACGTCACAAATCCAAAACCTGAATGATCACAACAAGAACTTATTATATTAGTAAAAAAAAATGTCATGATGGTATAAATATGTTGATGCATTCGATGCAATTAATGCCTCTAGCTAGCTAGCTCTAACCAAATGTATTGATTCCAAGAACATAATAGATTGGGGAGAAGATTCCATCCACGAATTGAATGAACCACCAAGTCACATAAAATGTGATGGCTATGGGAAATAAAATCACACTGCAAAAATAAGAAAACTTTAGAGAAGAATTGAATAAGATATGAAAACGATGAAATTAATGAGAGCAAGCAAACCATCCAGTCATGAACTTTTTTGAAGCCCAACTGCGAATTACTTTCACTATTGCCTGCATATACACATACAAACAACAAATATCACTAATAATTCTGCGGATTTACTCCTTAAATCATTAATTAGTGCGTGTATGTGTATGTTTAGTAGAATCCTCATCAACAATCGATGTTAAACATGGTAAGATCGAATTGAAGTTCAATAGACTTGGTTGTGAATTATCCTTCACTTCTTCTCCTTTTTCTAGATAATCGAATCTGTATCAATTCTGCTGTATATGATATTTAAACCTGATCAACAAAATTACAACCTAGAAAGATTTTGAATGTGTTATTGCAAAGAACAACAATGCAATTTAGTCAAATAAGATGTACACATTCGGTATCAATTGTGGCGAACAATCAATCGTATCAACCACATTAATTGGAAATCAATATCAAAACCTAGCTGGATATATATTTTAATCGGATCATCAAACATGCATGAATTAATAAACAAATTATGGTTTAATATTTCATTTCAAATATCGAGGATACACAAGAGAAACAAACCACAGGAAGAGACACGCACAAATTTGCAGACCTCCTTGCCGGAATGGTGTGGGGAAGAGGAGGAAGCCCCCGGTGCAGGGGATTCCGCCGGCGATGAGGAGTGGGAATCACCATCAATCGTCTCTGATCTTCTTAATGTGCTAATTGGTATAAGACGTTCTAGATCTCTATCTCTATCTCTATCTCTATCTTTCTCTCTCGTCCCCATTTTTCTCTCCGTTTCTTCATGCGAATAGCTGCCAACGTCGACTCTGCAAGTAATAACCAACTCACGTACGTTCGTTCATGCAATCTTTCGTTTGTGCTATCGTTAATTAGCCCTTAACTATTGCTTCATATGCAAAAAAGAGACCATACTTCCCTTTTCATATAATAAAAACTTTACGACATTATCTTAAACAATCAAAACCTTAATTGTATTTCATTTATAACTTTTCCACCTTTAGATCAAATTACCGACATCATCTTGACCAAATAACAAGTCAAGCCCAGTTTCTTTTGACAAATACTTACGCGTCTTCATAGTTTCCAAACTTGGATTGCATTTGTAACCTAAAATCACAGAAACCTTAACCTAATTTGGCTCCACCATTGCAACATGACACCGACCACACATTCTCAGGCAACCAACCCACCACGATCCTTCTCAGGCAACATGACTCATTCATCAACTTTTTATTGCCCGATTGAACAATCACTATCGCTATTGCCCGCTGATCTTACATGTAGCACCTTTGGAAAACCCTAGCTGAATACACCGTTGTTGAGGATCTTCAAGCACACACATAAATGAACTGCAGACATGATTTTAATCTTTAACAACGTCATTTTTCATCTTTCGTCTTCTTATTTTGTTTATCACGATTAAGAAATTTAACCAATCCAAAAACAACCATGTCTAATACCCAAGTATCACGTTTTATTTGACCCAATATCTCCTTGGAGTGAAGACCAATACAGATTTAACATATTTCAGTCATATAAGATATTTTACTTGTGTAGAGTAGAAATTGATGCAACACATTTGTAACGCCCGGATCATTAAGTATGTTTTTCATTTTTAAATCTATCATGTTGGGGATTACCACGACCTGGTGGAGGCACCACCACGATGTGGCTAGGCGAAAATGGGTCGCGTGTATTCGAGTCACCACGATGTGGTGGCGACTGGCATGCAAACCCTATTTTTTCGGGTTTGCTCCCTATTTAAAGGAATGATGAGGCTAGGGTTTGCTCATCCTCAGCCTCCATCATTCCCCTTAAGCCCCAAAGAAACCCTAATCACTTTCCTCCATTATTGAGCTAGTTTTGGTGTTCCTTGAAGCTAAGAATGAAGAAAAAGGAAGAAAGAAGCAAAGATCAAGCAAGCAAGTCTCCATTCTTCACCCTAGCACTCTTCTGGGCCTTTGTAAGTGCCCAAGACTCGATTTTTATCATGCTAGGTTGCTAGATCTTGAGTTTTGTCCCATTGACTTCTTGTTCTTGTTTGTTGTGATAATGAGATCTCATAAAGTTTGCAACTTTATGAATCTTTGGGACATTTGGTGTATTTTGTGCCATGGATCTGGAGTTTAGTTGGGTTTTTGATCCATGCATGAGATTAGGTCATAAAACCCTCATTTTGACCTAATATGGGTTCAAGACATGCATTGGACATGCATGTCTATAAAACACCAACTTTTAAGTTAGTTTTGGTGCTACAATCACTTCTGGAAAGGATGAACTTCGGATTTTGTGGAATAAGTGCTTATTGATTAAGTTCTTTCCTTATAAGCCTTTTGGGACATGGAGATTTTGGTTTTGGACATTTTGGGTGGTCCTAATGGATAAAGTTAGAAACTTTATCCTTCTAGATCACATTTTGGACCAGATCTGAGCTTTAGGGCTCTTGGAATCGGAGAAAACAGCTTAATGCCTTAAGCTGTTAGAAACCTCGACAACCACAACGTGGTCCTAGGTCATTACGGCGTGGCGGCAGGGATTTTCCCGACTGTTTGGTAGTCAGCAAACCACGGCGTGGCCAAGGAAGACCACGTCGTGACGGACAGCTGGAGTCAACATTGACTGTTGACCTTGAGGTTGACTTTTGATTTGTGGATTTTGTTTAGCCATTAATGTCCTGATAGGTAAATTACGGATTTTGCCTCGTGTAGTTATCTAGGTGGCGCCTAACACCTGTTGTGGGATTTTAAGGACGTGTTGGATTTTGGGCTTCTTTGTGAGGTGAGTTTGCTCATTATGCTGTAGGACACTAGGGATTGTATGTGTTTGTAGTCTTTATGACTCCAACTGTATGTGTTGTATGCCTGTGTACATGTTTGTTATATGTATGTGGGGGTGAAATAGACCTAGGGGTGACATAGAACCGGTACATCCTTGTGCTGACATATGAGTTGAAATAGACTCAGGGATGAAATAGACTCAGGGGTGAAATAGACCTGGTACAACGTTGTGCTGACATATGAGTTGAAATAGACTCGGGGGTGAAATAGACCCATAAGTGAAATAGACCTGACACAACATTGAGCTGGCGTATATATATGGTATGTGGTATTTGGGGAAATCACTAAGCTTTGTGCTTACAATTTTTAGTTTATGTTTCAGGTGCTTCCGTTCGAAGGGGAAGAGCTCGAGATGATCGCATTGCACACACCATGATTTTCCGCTTATTTGACTATGATGTACTTTTGGGATGTTTATTGATATACTTTGAATACTTTACGGTTTTGAAAAACATGTTTGGATGATGGTCTATTTATATAAAAACAAAACAAAAAAAAATTGGTTATGAGTTTTGGGACTTTACAATATTCATAATTATGAAGGTCCTTGCACAAATACATGGGTAGGTTATAACTAAAAATTATAGTAATCCATGGTTTGTATGTTTTATAATTGTTTAATTATAGTTTTTTTTGGGGATTACTCCACTATATTTAGAAATTTTAAATAAATTTGTGGATTTTGAATGTGAAAAGAGGTTTGTTGATGTTTCTTTAAAGGCATGCATCTGAATCTATTGGCATATATAAAAATGGTAGCCAAAAACCACTTACATCATTTGATTGTTTCCACACGGATACCCTAATGTCTTATATGCTTACAAAAAGTAAAAATGGTATATGAAAATTTTTCAATGCATTATATATTTCGTGATTTAGAATTTTAAAATTAGTTGTTTTTGACTCTATTTTCTTGAATTAATAACATGCATATATTGCATGAAGGGGTTTCTTCAAACTTGAGCTCGGAAATGTAAGACAAATACATAAGTTTATTCACTAAATGAATCAACCCCGAGTTGTAATGAAGAAGATTCTTCTCAAAATGCCACTATCATTCATGTAATTTCTATATTTCATCTGGAATTTTGTAAAAGTTATCAATTTTATGTTTTTCATTTCGTGTTTTAGGGTAAAATGACCAAAATGACAAATTTTATGTTTACTGGTAAAAATGAGAGTTTTCAAAGTAGTATGTTATTTTGATATATTTTTGAAGTTAGACATGCATCACTTGTATACAATATGTGACTAGTTACTTTGTATATGGATTTTGTGTGATGAGCACAGTGTCGTAGCTATGACGATCCACTTGCATAATGTTTGGCTAACATGCCTTCTTTATGAGGGTATTGTTTGGCATAAATGCCTTCTTTACTTGGACAGATCTCATAATGACCGTGTAAGACATTTCTCTCTTAAGGACGTGTAAGGATTAGACTTGAGATGACTTAGGATGTGATCGAAGCATATTGCATTGCATTTATATATACTATGACTTAAATGATGTTTATTTTTAAACACTTTAAATGGTTAAAAGGTGATGAAAGATTAATGATTTATGATAAAGACTCAAGTGACTATTGATGATATTTATGATTAAGGTCTTAATACTAAGAAGGGAAAACTACAAAAAAGTCGTTACATATTGGCCTCATAATCGATTTCGTCTTTATATTTTTTTTATTCAATTAAGTTCTAAAAATCGGTAATCGTATCCAATTTAACACTTTTACCCAACTTTAAAAAACTACAGTTTTGGCTAAGATTTCAAAATTTATTACAAATTTGGTCCAAAAATTACACTTTAAGCCCAGATTTTAAATTTTATTACAAATTTAGTCAAAAGTTTACTCTTTTGACCTAGATTTCAGAATTTTGTTATGAATTCATCATAACTTTATTTTTTTTTTTACAACTTTTTTTCTCAAAAAAAATTTCAAATATGTTTCTTTTTAAAAAAAATCATATTTATACAAAAAAACATATTTTCACATAAAAAATCTTATATTTCCTATATAAAATGTTTTTTTTAAAAAAACTTTTTTGTATATGAAATACCTATTTTTAAAAATAGGTATTTATTAAGTACATAAATATATACAAATTCGTTTTTATAAAAAAAATATATACCAAAACATATTTTACAAAAAAAAAATCTATACAAACACTTATTTTACAAAAAAAATTTGTACCAACAACTATTTTATTATAAATATAACGTTGTGTGGGTTGGAAAAAAAAGTTGTATGACAATAAATTTTGTTTTTTAATTTGAAGACACATTTTTTATCAGTGATCAAAAATTCTTTTTCAATTTTGAATATGAGTTATTTTTTTATGGCAATAATTTTAATTTTTTCTATAAATATTATTTAGAGTATACATTTAAAAGGATAATTTACTTCTCAAATGATGTTTTTTTTATCAAAAACATATTTGTATATATATTTTTTATAAAAACATATTTGTATACATTTGTTTATAAAAACATGTTTGAATATATTTTTATAAAATACGTGTTTGTATACATTTTATATATAAACGTGTTTGAATACAAATGCGTTTATTATAAAATAGGTGTTTACAAAAATATATAAATATGTTTTTACAAAAGAAATGTATACAAACACTTATTTGGGTGTATATAAATATGTTTTTACAAAATGTATTTATAATAAAATAGATGTTTGTATACATTTTTATTGTAAAATACGTGTTTATATATATATATATATATATATATATATATATATATATATATATATATATATATATATATATATAAATGAATTTGTATATATTTATGCACTTTATAACTACCTATTTTTATAAATATGTATTTCGTATACAGAAAAGTTTTTTAAAAAAGTTTTTATATAGAAAATATATGATTTTTTATATGAAAATATGTTTGTTTTTGTATAAATATGATCTTATAAAGAAAAAGTATATTTGGAATTTTCTTTTTTTGAGAAAAAATATTGTACACAAAATACAAACAAATTACATATGTGTTCAAATAAAAGCTTATGGTAACCAGTTCCCTCAGGTAAATAGAAAAATGACTTTAAAGGGTAATGAAGTTTCCAAAATGTTCAAAAAATGTCATTGTTTTTTTAGTACAAAAAATACCATTGAAGTATACCATTTGTACAAAGAATACCAACGAAGTACATATTTTAGTACAAAAAAATACCATTTATGTTTCCAAAATGTTAAAAAAAAATACCATAGTTGTTTTTTCAGAGCACATTTTGTTAACTTCGTTGTTTCTGGATTATGTAGAACATATTCACTAGAGATCATTCACTGTTGTACCGGTTCACACACCAGTTCTGTCCAGTTGTGCACTTTCATTCATTCTCTTACTCGATCAGTTTGTATCTAAATACAATCATAGAAAAACACATAACTAAGAACCATCAATTAGGATGCAAGTCGTTCAAGCGCTCCAACACATATGCTTCTCTCTCTACTTTGACTACAAATCGTCATCAACTTAGCCACATGACGTTGAGTGTTCCTAACCATTCATCTCTCACTATTCCTGAAGAATTAAACGCAACTCCTACTCTCTGCATCCACATTTAGGAATTCTCATGACATAGCGTCACACCCGTTTCTCATTTGTGTCTCTTTTGTGCCGTAACACTAATGAACGACTATTCTTGACGTATAATATGTGTATCTATATAACGTATATATGTTTTAGGTTTGAGACATATAATACGATCTAGAAGCAAGAACGTTTAACTAAGGTTATTACCCACTTACTTTTCATGTTACCGAAAGAACGATCGACTGAAAGAATGAAAGAGAATGCACAAATGTTGTGAACTGATATGGCGGTGCATGATCTCTTGTGATTGTGTTCTACATAATCCGACAACAACGAAGTTAACGAAAATACAATATTTTTTGAACATTTTGGAAATGTCGTTACGCTTTTAAGTCTTCTTTCCATTTACACGAAGTAACCGGTTACCACAAATTTTTATTTGAACACATGTGTACTATTTTGGTATTCTGTGTACAAATAGTATGCTTTAATGATATTTTTTATACTAAAAAACAACAATGATATTTTTTGAATATTTTAGAACATTTTAATAACCGGGTAAACTGATACAATAGCCGTTCCATGGTATTTTGTGCACTAAAAAAACAATGTTTTTTTTTTTGAAAACTTTATTACATTTTTAGGTAATTTTTCCTTTTTCCTATTTGTAACTGTTTCATTTTGTTTTCTAGGTTGTGAACAAAAGGTCATCCTCCTCTCCTCCTCTTCTCTGTATGGAGGAGGCAGATTTATAGAAGACATGTAAGAACAAAGAACAATAAAGATGATATTGTTATAACTAAAAGGTATTAAATTAAGGATATGAAGTAAAATATAAATCTAAACAGTAAACTGAAGTAGCAACGAATGGGGAAAGAAAGAGAACATTTCTTGAAAATGAAATGTTGTTTTCTTCCCAACTGTTGACATAATAGAACCAAAAAACCCTCCTTTGGTCAAACAAAATGATCATTGTTGTACGATGTTTGTAATTGTACAAACTTCTTAGACGACATATCCTATCACATCGATAGCGGAACTACACCAATCTTGTGGTCATGTGGTTGATTTTATATTTTCTTAGTTGATAATTTTTCGAACATAAAAAGAATAATATCAAGTCCTAACTTTTCTATTTACCCAAGATATATATCGAACCTTTTTCTTCTTTTTACGGGCCCTTTTTCTTCTGATCAAACTAAAATAATACAAGTTAAAAGTAATTTGCCTAAAAAAAAATAATAAAAATAAAAAGAAGGAAAAAATGCCATCCAAGTTTGGATATTTTTTTAGGATAATTCAGGTTCTAGTTTTTGATGAATTTGCATTAAGACTTTAATAATTTATTACGAATAATGATTAAATAAACTAAACAAGTATGAGAATGGTTTGTCACCTACAACCTACAAATTCCGACGTCGACGTCGGCCTTCATCTGTTCTGGTTCTATCGATTCCGGCCATCACCATCCTTGAACAGGCCATCGACGGTTTGGATCAGGTCGCCATGACGAAGACCGCCGTCTATCGGAGGAATCAGAATCAGCCCCTGCAGCTTTCTTCAAGCAGAAGATTTTAGCTATAAACGCCCAGGCTCCGGTCCTTTTCCGGCAGCCATAATCATTGCTAGATTCAGCGACATCATCATAGAGCCGCATTGAATCCGAGAGCTTCTCGTAGGAAGTGAATCTGAAAGAGAGGGAAGAACCTAGCTCCGATTTCAGGTGGGAATTATCGGATCTAGTGAATTTGTTGTTATCGGAAGAAAATGATCTCCTCCGTCCATCAAAGCTGAAGCTCCTGTTCTTCAAATCATCCATTTGCTCTCTCTAGAGGTCGTGCTCAGTGGGAATAAATAGTTGACCTTTTGAAAATTCAAACCCCAGAATTACTTGGCAACATGACTGAGACGTCACATGTTTTTATATTGTATTTTATAAAAATATTATTTGGAAGCAACTTGACACTTTACAGGGTGGATGTGCAAAAAAAAAAGTTGTGTACTCATTAATAAATAAACTTTCTTAGTTGAATATTCAAGCTCTTGTAATCATACGAATTATAATATTTAGTTAGTTTATCAATCAAATTAGTGTTAAGACCTGTTTGTGTTCGACGAGGGATAAGGTGGGTCACCCGGTTGGCCAGTAACACCCACATCCTGTATCATGGCATATGAAAGCATGCCATGCCATTTGATGAGGGAGTGTTATGATCAAGACCTTCAAGGCTGAACATAATTTATTTTTGGAATGACTATATTTTATAAAGAAGATAGAAAATAAAAGAAAAAAAGTATAAACTTATATTAGGGCGGGTTGCGGGTAACATTTTGTTAAACGCCACGTGAGATAACTTACTTTTACATTTGGAGCGTTTTGTTTAAAATAAACGTTAAAACATGTAGTCACACGAGACTTTTTGTTCAAAAGGGAGCGTTTTGTCAAACACTAGAAACTAGAAGCTCCCAAACGCTCTATGTCAAACACACCCTTACTAGTCAAAATTGGGTTTCTCTACCCAAGCAACCCATCTGAATTTAAATTTATGAAATCTATAAACAACCCGATTAAATAAAACAACTATGATACTATAAAAAAATACTATATTTACGAGACTTTTTTTGGAATGAACGACTAAGGTGATACGATACTTCCAAATACTCCATCAAGTTGTGTATAGAATAGCTTCTAAACCTGCTCGTTTAGCACTAGGCTAGGATATATAGCGAATCTAACCACAACACCTCTGTGCTCGTAACCATGTTTGGAATACGAAAATCTCAGCAATGCTTGGCAAGAAGATTTGGGCTGCCACCTCACACGATCAACATGATCTGGGAAGTCTTTACAAACCGGACATAAAACAGAGGAAAGATCCACACCTCTATTCACTAATGTAACATCCCGATTCCCAGGTATGTGAATTTTATTTAAAAAGACAATTTGTCCTTGGAACGTCGAGTTGATGGCCTCAACTCGACGTGTTGAAAGTCTATGAGCCGCGGATCTTTTGGACCAACTCGACGAGTTGGAGAAGAAAACTCGACGAGTTGATGGTTGATTATGAAACCCTAATTTTTAGAGTGTTGCACTCTATTTAAAGGCTTTATACCCTTTTGGGTGGCCTCCTTACCCGTCTTCCCTGTCCAAAAACCCTAGTCTCGTGATTTTTCTTCCATATCTGTGTGTGTGAGAGCTTGAAGAGTGCCTTCTTGGTGTTCTTTTGAAGAAGCTTGAATGTTGAATTGGTTTGTGTGGAAATGAGGCTATAGATCCATGATTTTCTCTCTTGTTGCAGTCATTTGGAGGTATAAAGTTGGCACCTTGCTTATCTATAGCTTAGATCTCATTCTTTAAAAGTTTATTGTCATATTGGCTCATTTTTGGGTTTGTTCTTGGTTTGAGCATGTCATGAAGTTATAACTTCAGATCTGGACGTTTTGTGGCCTCCTTGAGCTTAAAGTTTTAAGCTTTATCTAGATCTAGGCTTATTTCATGTTCTAAGTCCCTTAATAAGCCTTCTTTGAGTGTTTTAGACTCTTTGTGTTATGCATGGACATAAAGTTAGCAAATTTACGTGGTTTTTCAGCTCTTGGGTTCCAGATCTGCATTATTAAGCGTTAGGATGGGTGAAAAAGGACTGAATGAGTTAAGTTGGGAAAACTCGACGAGTTGTCCTGGCAACTCAGCAAGTTGGATCGGGTTTTCCTACTTTTCTGGATACTGTAGGAACTCGATGAGTTGTCCTGACAACTCGGCGAGTTGGATCGGGTTTTCCCTGTTTCTCTGAGTACTGAAGGAACTCGACGAGTTGGTAGGTGCACTCGACGAGTTGGATCTGTATCCTGGTAGATAGGATGATGTTATGCTTATTGATCTGTATGATCTGTGATTGCCTATTAATTGATTATATAGTTATGAGTTATGTATATGTCAACATGTGTGTGTGTGTGGTTGGGTTGAGGCGGTCCTGCTTTGTGTTGTAGGCCAACAGACCCAGGGCGGTCCGGATAGACTGAAGGCATGCGAGGCGGTCCAGTCAGGCCGAAGGCTCGGGAGCAATCGAGATAGGCTGAAGGCCCTTCGAGGCGGTCCAGTCATGCTGAAGGCTCATTTATGATTGATGTTGTCTGTTATGTTATGTGGTGGTATTTTGGGGAAGACTCACTAAGCTCTGGGCTTACAGTTTTTGGTTATGTTTCAGGTACTTCAGACGATCGCGAAAAGGCGAAGGCTTGATCGTGCACTTCCTCATATTTTGTGTTATGATTTCTGGGAAAACTTTGATGTGAAACCTATTTTGAAAACAATATGTAATAAATGATGGTTTTTGGATTTATGTAAAAGTTTTAAAATTTTCAAAATTTCTTGGATGTTACAACTAAGTTTTCTCTCGTGAGAACACAGTCCAATAAAATAAACCAAACTAAAATTTTAACCCATCTGAAGATATAATTAGTCTACCTAGTAGAATGAAAACCATTTTATAGCACCAAACATCAATATGTGTCCTTATAGAACCTACTGCTAACTCACCCGATCCCAAAGCCATTTATCCTTTTGGGACTTAAGATCAATTTAAGGTAACTTGACGTGAACTTAACTTTAATATATTGGTTTATCAAAATTATTATATTTTTTCTTATATCAATGTATTTCGATGGATATCAATAAAAGTACACTTATATTTGTATGGTGTATATTTGTTGAGTTGCAGAGTTGATTACTCAATGGCTTTATTAACCCTATTGAGACTTTGCAATATAGCATACTGAGGTCAAGGGGGAGCTGCTCCTTGCCTAACGACAACTTTATTGACCTTATTGACCCTCTAAGATAAGCGAGGGTTCTAGAAGTAATGAAAGCTCAGTTATGTCTCGGGAAGCTGGAATGATTGAGAGCGAAGCCTTGGATAAAAGCAACAAAATTGAAGACAGTGGGAGTGAATCCACTAAAACAACTGACTGAAAATGAAGAACCAAAAAATTATCCAGAATCCTTTAGGATGAAAGAATCCATACAATGGAAGAAGGCTACGAAGTGTGAGTTGAGCTTACTTGACAATAACAAGACTTGGTCCTTGGTAAACCAGCATGAAATAAGGCATTTTAGAGAAAATAGATGTTCAAGGTTAAGGATGAGATTGATGGAAGCAAGAGACACAATGTTAGATTGGTGGTAAAAAATTCCAACAAAAGGCAAAAATTTTGAAACATCCAAAAAATACGGTCCAAAAATTTCGTTTTTAATTATTAATAAAACCATAGTTATCCAAAACACATGTCATAATATCTCAAACATCATATCAATGTATATCAAAATATCAGAGTATAAACATCTCAGGCTGAACAAATGGTGTGTGCACTACAGTCATCCCGAGCTCTTCCCTTTGCTACTGGAAGTACCTGAAACCAAAACTGAAAATTGTAAGCACGAAGCTTAGTGAGTCTCCCCAAACTACCACATACCATACACATAACATGAAACTAGGAGATACGGGCCCCACCTACTCTCATGGAGATTCGGGCCCCACCCACACTCCACTGTCTAGGAGATTCGGGCCCCGCCCACACTCCACTATCTAGGAGATTCGGGCCCCGCCCACACTCCGCTACTACATGCATACAAGTATCACGCACGCAACAAATATATCTATTCCTATCAAGCAGTCACATATCTATACTCAAATAATACTACGAGATTCGGGCCCCGCCCACACTCGGCTACTATGAGATTCGGGCCCCACCCGCACTCAGTTACTAACATATCATACTACGGGCGACCTTGGTGCCGTAGACCCGTTCCTACCGAAGGAAACTCACCTTGTATGCTAGCTGTGAAATCTCGTGTGAAGAATGTCTGACTGCTGCTCCGACGACTCCTTGGCTATCAATTTCACAATAACACTTAATCAAAATCTGATAATCCTTCTTAGGGTAAAATAACCATTTTACCCCTGCTCAAAGTCAAAGTCAAGGTCAACTCCCAGCCGCCTCAACTCGTCGAGTTACCTCCTAACTCGACGAGTTCCTATACTATTCAGACTCGTGGTCAACCGAGTCAACTCGTCGAGTCCCTTCACAGACTCGTCGAGTTCCATCTGACATAGAATCGGGACAACCCAACTTTAACTCATCAAGTCCCTTTCTGGACTCGCCGAGTTCCCCTGTCTGTTTGAGCTATCTTAATGGATTAAGCCCCTACACTTCAAATCCAAGCTCCATACTTCACATAAACCCTAAAAATGTCCTTTTAAGGGTAAAGTTTCTGACTTTACCCATTAATACCTCTTCTTAAAGGGTTTAGCTTAAACCCTAATTCCTTGGGACATAGAACTTGGTCCTTAAGCCATCCATACACCAAGCTAGAGCTTACAACCTCAGATCTAAACCCCTAACACCAGGGACGGACGCAGAAATACATAGCAGGTGTTGTCGGGATGAATAGGTATTGCCGATACATGAAAAATAAGTAAAAAAAATTGAAAAATCGAAAATTTTTCCACAGCGGCCAGAAAAGTTAGGGGTTGCCGGTGCCACACCGGGAACCCCTTAGAACCGTCCCTGCCTAACACTACTTGGACACGTAAAGTTCCCACCTTTTTCCACATGCATGGCCTTTTAGGGCTAAAAAGGCCAATATGACATTTTATGGCTTGCATGGGGGCTCCAATGGCATAAAGTTTGCACCTTTATGTCATATCAGCCCCTTAAGGTCCTAGATCTGGAAGAATACCCACTTGGGTCGATCCTTCTCCAAAAGCTATCACTCTTGGGCCAAAAACCCACATAAAGAGGACATAAAGAGATCTAATGAAC